GGCCTGCGGCTCCTTCTGCCTGCGGGAGCGGAGCCTGGCGATCCAAGATAGATGTCTCAAAATGGACTCGGTGCACGAGACTCGCCCAGGCGGCGGCGTCTGCGGCAAAAGTGTGCCATCCCTGCGCGTCGTCGCAGAGGAGCCCAAAACCGTCGACGTATCCTAGGGCACGGATGCGATCAATGTCCGACGCAAGCAGAGCAAGCCACGGAATAGGTATCGCTTCCGCGCCAACGTGGAGTGCAGCTACAAGGCTGGCGGGAGAGTTCCAGACTAGTCTGCCAAAGTACCGCAGCCGGGCGCGCATGAGGTGGCAGTCGAACGAAGGAACGCCCAGTCGCCGGCGGACCTCCAAATCCGTGAACAGAGTGTCGGCAGAAAAGCGTGGATCCCCAGCTATTCGCCCGAGCACTCTAGAGTTCACGATCGCGAGCTTCTTAAAAAGCCCGAAGGGTCAACTCGCAGATGTGCAAATTGAACAGCAGTCGCGACAAAGCTAAACTACGCATGAAAGCAAGCTTGCACCGCTCCTCCAGTGTTCTGTATCCGCCGACGGATTTCATAGCGGATCTGCAACCCGCAAACGATCCCACTATGTTATGTGCAATCACAAAAGGTTTGTTGAGTACATCGGAGGAAGAGGTGGCGGGTGAGCAGGATGCAGGAGGAAAAGGATGAGGATGCGGGAGGAGGTAGACGAGAAGGAGCAACAGCAGCCCGAGCAGGGGTGGGAGAATCGGGAGGAGCAGGAGGACCAGAGGAAGGCCCGGGAGGGGAAAGGAGCAGGGGGACAACGATGAATAAGCACTCGGATCTGGAGAAGTGGCCCGCGTTCGGACGAGAGCGCCTGTCGGAACGATCGGAGCAAATAACCGATCATAGAATGAGGCGGACGCTGCAATGTGAGCACCACTGTCAGACACCGACAGCGTCCGATTGACAAAAGGCAAAAGACCGACCAAATAATGACATCCTGCGCGTAACGTGCGTAAAGATCATACGCGGAGGGGGGCGGCCACTCCCCGGCCATCTTCAGGAGAGAGAGGAGAATAGTATTCATATCGAGTAATCGTGGACGCAGGCGAAAATACACCCGAACGGAAGTGGTTCGACACGGGCAGGACCCGAGCCGAACCACTACCGCATTTCAACAAACCAAACCGCCCAGCAATCCAGCCAATCCGCGCCTCCCAACGGGGGGGGGGGGGGGCGACCACTTGCCGAGGCGGACGGGCCGGTCTCGCCTCCCCCAGCCACGGCTGGGTCAACACGCTTGCCAGAGGCCCCCAAGAGAGCCCCAAGAAGGTCACAGGTTTCCAAGGCTCCCCAAAACGGCCCAGAAGGGCCCCAGGACGGCCCACAAGGGTCCGAAAACTACCCAAAAGGGCACCCAAAAGGCTGCGAAAAGACCCTCAAGAAACCCCAGAAACGCCAAGTAACACTATGGCTCCCAACAGCGAGCGGTGACATAACGAGCTCTGAACACCACGGCCCCTCAGGGCACGGTGACGTAAATAACCTGGGGACGTACCCAACATGTTTAAGCATGTGGTGAGTATACATCGCCCAGTACAAAAGCAATCATTGAATGATCCGCAATGCCCATGAACGCTTCGCCAAAGAACGTCGGGCCAGAGTCAGATGTTTCACATATGCGGCGTCACTCTGAAAAGTCAGCCGTTGACAGGGGAACGACCACGAGGGGGCGTGGAAACATGTGGAGGAGGGACGATTGGAGACATAGTTCGTGGGAGTAGCAGCGCCTTGCGCTGCGTTCGTATTGCAGGACAGCGCTCTGCGCGCTATGACAGTACAGCGCCTTACGCTAAACGCAGCATGTGCCCGCATGCATTACAAGCAACAGGCATCTGAAGAAGGGATGCGGCATGGGCGACGGACAGCGCCATGCGCTATTCGCTGCGCGGCGCTCGCACACGCCGCGATGTGTGATCTAACAGCGCCATGCGATATGTGACGGGGAGAGGTCGTGCGTCCACGGGGCGACTATAAACAGGGCTGGGATCACACCGGTGTGTGCCTGATGGGTTCAGCCCTGTGCCTGACTGCCGCTGGGTATGTATGTATATATATATGTATATTATATATATATATATATATATATATATATATATATACCCAGGCGCCCATGCCTCATGGAACTGGTGGCGACAGTTTCGCAGATCGCAGCCCCCCAAGGACGGCGAGGTCTCCTGGTGATCTGCGTGGGACACCTTTTCGCTGGACCTCCCAGGAGCCTTCGAAAGTGGCCAGAGTTTAGCAGATCGCAGCCCCCCAGGGACGGCGATGTCTCGTGGTGATCTGCGTGGGACACCCCTCCGCTGGACCTCCCAGGAACCGACGAATGCGGCGACAATGTTGCAGATCGCAGCCCCCCAAGGGCGGCGAGGTCTCGTGGTGATCTGCGTGGAACACCTTTTCCGCTGGACCTCCCAGTGGCGACAGCCTCGCATATCGCAGACGTCCAGGGGCGGCGTGGTCT